TGCTGCTGCTGATCGTTGTACAGATATTCCACACTGGCGTTGGTGTGTTGGAGCCGCGAGCCATTGCCCGTGAGCAGTATGAAGGATCATTGGATGCTTTGACAATGAGGTTGGTCACCAATTGAGGATGAACGAGTGTACATTGTTGCTGAAGGTCACTGTCATTGTCAGTTGGTTCCTTCAGTGCAGGCGTGGAGTCTCATCAGGAATTGGCGCAATGGAAGGGCGCATTTTGCGATCTCTTTAATACCATTGATGGGTATGTGGCTTCCTCGAAAGATCTCCTCGAAAGTATGTGGCATCCTCGAAAGATCTCCTCGAGAGATTGGATATCGACACAATTGCTGCCGCATCTGAGATTGCTATGCACGCTTTTGTAGAAATGTGCAAGCAATTCACTCGCGTGAGATTTGACTTTCCGGAAGTCAACACTGCATTTGGCTCATTACCAATACATACACCCGCATTATGGCTCCGGAGTTCGCTTATCCACATTGCGGCCCAGCAGAGCATGCGCTATTGTGTGTGATAAAATTCGCACGCTCTGCCATTCGCATTGCCGTGAGAGACGGACAAGACCCATTTTTCTGTTTTCCCGTGTCACATTGACCTTTCGTGGCAATTGTTCGACAAGACATCTGAAAGCTACGAAGCATTGCGAGCATTGTTTCGTCGACGGGTTGTATTGAAGACGATCGGGCCATTCGAGCACATTCGGCATGATACATTGACGTCTGCGCACGTCTATCTTGCCCTGCCATTGTCATTGGCAGAAGGACTGATTAGTGGATCTGGAGTGCGAATTCCTTTTCCACTTGGGCAGATTAATGCGATGTACAGCATTGAATCTGCGATCTTAAACTCCGTGAACTTGCTCATTGGTACAGGCAAGAATGTTTTACTGCCGAGCAGATTGAAGAAGATGTCGCATTCTTGTGTTTCCGCCCCATCATTGCCATGACCTGACAAGCACCGATTTGAAGCATCCTAGTGGCAGGGGTGGATTCCAGAAGTACCATAATTGCAATTACATTGGATGCTCGTGGTGTTAACCATTGGTTCTGACCCTTCATTGAGCTACCAAGTGCCAGAATGGTCTCGAAGAACAAGCGTTGTCTTTGTGGCAACTGGGGTGAACTTGAAGAAGATTGCGAACATTGTGCACATTGCCTCCTATGTGTACCATTTGCCGAGCGAAGGATTGCACAGGCATTGTGTATTTCCGCTTACGGCAAAGCAAGTGCCAGGCATTCCACCGTTGGCATTGCTTGGCAGCGATTGCGTTGAGATTTCCGCCAAGGTGATTGAGAACGAGGCCATTGGAGTTGAAAGTTGCGAGGATTTGAATGAGGACGAGTACAAGATCCTCATTCGAGCGGCCTCTGCGATTGCCCGAAAGCGCAAGAATCTGGATTGAGCAGCTGGAGCATTGGCACAACTTGCCGGAGTGTTTTCTTTTTCTGTGTCATGGATTGGCAACAGGTTGCTCGGATTGAGCACCGGAGCACTACATGACATTGCGGTTTTCTATTCACACCGCAACTGGATTGCTGACGAACCGACGGATTTGCAGCCTGGATGACGGTCAGATTGCAGCCAGATTGTTCGGATGTACAGATGTGAAGTGATTGCCGCCGCCTTTTGCAAAACGAAGATTGATGTCATTCTTGAACTTTTGCTTGGTAGTTGGATTGTTTGATTGATCTTGAACAACACCGTTGCAGTACTGTTGTGATTTTCTCATGATTGATTATACAGATGTGATTGTTGACAAAGATTGTCACAATCAAGGGACCGTGTTAGAAAACATGGTCATTTGCCCAGTCATTGGCAAGCCCAATTGTACCGCACCAACAACACGTTGGCTCAAGACTTATCGACATTGATGCCCAGACTGGAAAAGTCCAGACCGAGAGATTGCATTCTGAAGCTGATTAGGATCTTGCTTGATTGCATTGTTGTTGTATTGAGCACATTCCTGACGAGCTTGAAAACGTCCATTGAACTTTTCATTCCAAGCCCCCTTCGAAGCCTTCACCCCCTTCCAAGCCCTTCAAGCCCCCTTCACCTCCCGCTTCAAAGCTCTAGCTCATTTAATCTGTTTGCAAGGCGTTTTACTTGTATTTGATTTATTTCATCGCTTTTAACCCCTGAAGCGATTTTCGTGTGGCTTTCTCCTTGTTGTGTATGAAGAAACGTTTATTCCTTGCTGTCTGTTGCGTGTGGCTCATTTTAATTTGTTTTCGTCGCTTTTAACCCCCTGAAGCGCTTTTGTGTGGCTTTCTCTTTGTTGTGTGTGACCGAAGCGGTTTAGGAAACACCCCCGCAGAAAGCCTGTGGAACGGCTGAAGAAAAGTTTGTCAGAGAAGGCTTGCGATTCGAGACACGTTGCCCCCCAGACCTTGGCAAGCCCCATGCAAGCCCGCCCATTTGCAAGTCTTCAGAAGGAACTCTGTTTTCTTCGTTTTTTCCCCGTTAAGGCGATTTCGAGTAGCTCCTCCATCTTGTGTGTTGGAGAAAACGCTCGTGTTCGTTTGTTTGTCCGAGAAGACGTTTCCTGTATGATTAACTATACGTTCTTCGCGTTTAGGCCCCTGAAGCGTTTTCGTGTGGCTTTCTCCCTCTTGTGTGGAAGAAGCTGTTATTGCCTTCATGTGCGTGTTTTCGCGGCTGAAGAAAGCGGGGAGTTTGGGTTCGGATTAACCAACCCTAACCTGCGGATCAAGGTTGGGGTTCCGGTTGACCCCAACCCTAACCTGCGGGCCGGGGTTAGGGTTCGGGGCAACCTCAACCCCAACCTGCGGACCGGGGTTGGGGTTCGGGTTAACCCCAACCCTAATCCCCGGTTCAGGTTAGGGTTAACCCGAACCCAGAACCTGGGGTTGAGGTTGGGGTTGGGTTGGGGTTAACCCGAACCCACAACCTCAGGTTCAGGTTGTTGGACCCCCTTGGACCCGGCCCCCAGGGGTTACAACCTGGGTTCAACCCCAACCCCCAACCCGCCCGCTCGAGAGCTTGGACTCCGTTTGACGAAGTGTTGCTGTCCATTGCAGGCGGACTCGTTGCTTCGTCGCAGTGTGCCGCCTAGTTGATTCGTTGTGTAGCTTGTTCAGTCACAAGCCGGGATTGAACACGCATGTACAGTTGTACTTATTGGAGTCAATTTGATCTTTGTTTCTTTTGTGGACCGGGTGCTGCAGCCGCAGTCTTGCAAAAAACTTACTTTCGCCCGTGCAAGGATTGAGAAGGCCGTGGCATTTGGTCGGCTCGGTATGGCAAGACCAGATCTTGCAGAAGTGCTGCTCAATAGTAATTATCGTAGTTTTCGTCATCGTCGGCTTAGTGCGCTGGAGCATGCCTGCATGTCGTGTGAGCTAGATGAACAATACAAGAGAACATGCCACCAACGTGGTTGGATATTCTTCATGTGGTTTGAAGTCACCTAATTGACAAGTTTCATCACTCGCACAATCTTGGTGATCGTTTTCTTTGCAATCGGCCAGTGGAGAATCTGCACAGAATGCAAAACGGGTGGCTTCCATGTCACGTTGTCTTCCTCTTTCATAAGCTAGCTTACTTTCCATTCGGCAAACTGGCTGGACCCAATTGAGTGTATGCTGTGCGCACTCTTCAAGAAAATTCGGCAGTGCCAACACGAGGCGATTTTTACGGCACAAGCCCCGCGGCATAGCGCTTAGCACGTCGAAGCCCTCGCCACGGACACACATCAACAAAAAGTTGAGTGAAAGCTTGGAACGAAATCGAAGACCCAGAATCCTACACAGACCTACTTTGACCCAAGCACCGTAAACCATAAGCCCGAAACCCCAAACTCTAAACCCCAAGACTTTAAAGAACATGGCCACGTGGTCACCGTAGCTTTGCATGATGGCCACAGGCCGAGGCACGGAGCCGCTAGCATGAGGGCTTATGATTCAGGGTTGAGGGCTTTGTCAAATTTCATTTCTTTTCTGCGGCTCTAGTTCGTAAAGTGTTAAATCCTCTAGCAGGTGTAGAGCTTGCGCCTGCAGCCGCGTCATGCTGCGTCGGTCGAAGGCTCAGGTCTTGCTTCCACTTTGGCTTTGCTTTGCTAAGGCGGTGTAGTTTCGATGAGCTGGATGCGAAGATGTGCTTGGAATTTCCGTTGCAAGCTATCAGTTCAGTCTTGTCCGTGTGAGGCCGGGCAGTGGGCAGAATTTGGATGCCCGCAGCTAAGCTGTGCATCGGACTTTCTCTGTGTGCGTGTGGTGTAATGAGCACCACCCAAGCTGCTAGTAAAATGGACATTAAACGTCAGTGGCTGGCAGCAACCCTTTACGAGATATGAAGGGGCTGCGGATCTTACTACCTGTGCCTTCTCTCTGTGCTCGCCGTGCGTGTTGTAGGCATGCTGTTCGCTGTTCGCAGATATGTCCACTTCGCTTAGAACCTTAAGGCTGCTCCCTGAAGTACCCGGTACAGTAGCCCCAGCCCTACGACGACGTCTCTCGTTCCATTCGACTTGTGCACCCAGGTCCAAGCCATCCACGGTGACTCGAGGCGCTTCCATGCTGTTGACTCGTTGTCCTACGATTTGAGGGAGCTCGGCTTGGTGCAGACCGGTGAGGGGCCTCCTTGCTTCATTGCCTCATGTCCTTTTCTTGGCTGGCATGTCCGGTAGCTTTTGTGGCACAAGAACGACCGCAGAGCATCCACCAAGCCCACTCTGAGATGGTGCGCCAGGCAGGGAGCTGCAAGCCAGCAGTTGCATGTAAGCCGGGCCGGGCCGGTCTTGCGTGTTTAGGTTGCGGGTATGTTGTGTGTTACGAGTGTGAGCGTGCACCACGGGTTGAGGTGCTCCTGATCCTTTGTCTTGGTGCGGCTGTGGGGGAGATCTGTGGAGTGGGAGATGGCATCTGTTTGGAAGCCATCATGAGGAGACGCTTCGCCAACAAGAAATGGCAAGCAAACCGTACGGTGACCTACGACTTGCAACAGCACCTGCTCGAGCTCCTTTTGACGGCCCCGAGCGCTCTCAACACACAACCCGGCAGACTGGTCGTTGTTGACACGGAGGAGTCGAAGCGGCGGCTTGCGGAGGCCATGGACGGCCCCAACCCTCACCACGTGCTCGAGTCCTCCTTCTCAGTGGTCTTCGCCGCTGATCCCGAGCCTTCTCTTCCTGCAGATGCTCCACGCTTCTTTGCCCAAGTGCTGAGGGATGTGTCCCTGGCCCAGGCATGCAGCGATCAAGCTTGGGCCGAGAAGCAGGTGATGCTCCAGGCGGCATACTTCCTCCTGGCAGCGACGGAACACGGGCTGGCCACGAACCCCATGGAGGGCTTCAAATCCAAAGCAGCGGTGCGGGAGGCCGTGGGCTTGCCAGACAACTACGGTGTCGCTGTAGTCGTGTCCGTGGGATATGCCCAGCAAGAAGTGGCACAGGCATCCAGACGGCCTCTACGCGAGGTGTGCTTCCGAGAGAAGTACGGTGTCAATCCCTGTTAGTAACAGTGTCCACGACCTCCTCGAAGAGTCTTCTCCGAGTGACAGTATTCGATTTCTAGGCAGTTGCGAACCCACGAGGTGAGTCCGCGAATCTTCCGCCCGAAACTGCTACTACTAACACGCAGTCAAGTTTTGTTGCACCGGGGACCTGCAGCGACCTGCGGCCGTCCACATGTACAGAGCATTTCCTTGTTTGGGCATTGAGGCAGCTTACGGTCTCCTTGTCTGTATAGGTCTGCAAACTTCACGTTCAGACAAATAAACATCTCTGTGGGAGAGAGAATGCGGAAGGAATTTCAGTTCGGCGCTCTGGTGGTGTGCGCTTTTGCTTTATTTGCGACTCGCAGGTACGTGGGGCGGCCAGTGCTGCCAGTGAGACTCCGGAAGAGGCCACTGGGCAGCCTGTCCTCCATCGTCATCGTCACAACAAGAAGAGCTTGCTGCGAAGATTGCCGATGATATCCAGACAGGTCGCATCGACACCGCCGTCACACTGACTCGGGCGGCAGGTAGCTTGACACAACGACGCGACTGGACAAGAAAAAGAGGAGATTATTGCTATCATTGGTATTATATTTATCATCTGTATAGTGCTGATATTAGCAACTACGTACTACGTACTACGTACTACGTACTACGTACTACGTACTACGTACTACGTACTACGTACTATACGTACAAAACGTACTACGTGCTATACGTACTATACGTACTATACGTACTATACGTACTACGCGTACTATACGTACTATATATACGTACTATACGTACTATACGTACTATACGTACTATACGTACTACGCGTACTATACGTACTATACGTACTATACGTACTACGTACTACCTACTACGCACTACCTACTACTTGTTACTACTGCTGCTGCTGCTACTACTACTACTACTGCTACTACTACTACTACTATTATTATTATGATTATTACTATTTCTTTTGTCAATACTGTTACTAAAGCGGCGCAAGGAGTCTTTTGGAAGCATGAGCCTTTGGGGCCTTCCACGCATTGAGAGTTGCGGGAACTCATGGTAACAAGGAACGCGTGACTCGATTGACGTTCTGATGGAAAGGCTTGTGTTCAGCTCTCAGTGAGAAGGCGTTACTTGCTGAGATGTCTTCTCCTTCTGTCACCGTCCACATGCTGCAGGCCTTTAACCTGACAGGAAGAAGACCTATTGCTGAATACTCTTTTTAGCCATTTGCCTTCGGATCCAGGGCGCGGGGAAGAATGTTGGAACCGTTAAGACCCGGATCCCATCCTGACAGTGCGGAAGCGCCAGGTCAGCACGACACCCCAAGATAAATACCTCTGTTGCCTTGTCTCTGACATGTCTTTGCCAGCCATTGTGGCTCAAACCAGCGTCTCACCGCAGCTGCACGTCAGGAACGCCTGACCCTCATCCACAGGTGTTTGACGAGAGTGCTTGAAACATCAGCGCCAGCTGGGCTGCAGCCGAGGTGCGTGGAAGCATCCATCTGCCCTGTATTCCTGATCCTCTTTGCAGGCCTGAGTGCAAAGTCGGTGGCAAGCATGCTCCCGAAATCCTAAACCTAAATCTTAAGACGGAAGATTGTTGTAATATCAGCATCTCCTTTTGTAGTCCATAGATAAGTATGCTACAACAAACCCTACCCCAACTCTCCCTTCATCATGCTGTGTTCTTCAGCTCGGACCGAGGATCCCGAATCTTGATCGAGAGTCACCGATTCTGTGGGTATTGCACCTTGGCTTTAATCGGGCACCGTCTGAGAATGTGGAGCTACATTGCATCTGTATGTACACAAATCAGACTATGAGCTTGCTGAGTAGTAGTTTGTTTTCGCAGACGTATTCTCAGCGATGTCAGTAGCAGAATTAACAATCCTATTACCAGTCTATGTATTTCCTACATTTCCACTTAACCTTGTATGGTCCCAAGTCCCACGCCTTTAGTTCCCACATCCAGTCCTTCCGTAGCACTCCAAACCACTAAATCGCCACTCCATGGATGTTCACCTCCATCATCGTCCCCCAAAATCTAATCTAGGCGCGTGAAACAACATCCAACTGCAAGGCACTACCCTACACCCTAACCCCTACACCCTAAAGCTTTAAAACCCTAGTTGGTCATCTCTGCCCAACTTGCTGCATCGCGCCTGGCAAAAGGAGATGGGGGTCTTCCTTTCGAGTATGGTCAGCTCCTTAGCCGGATTGCCCAGCCTACACGAGATGCATTTTTTGGCCGAGGGCAGCTTTTCATTTCCGACCTTGCCCTCTGTCTTCTCACATTGCCTTTGGACGCTGCGAGTAAGAGCCAACTACTTTTTTCTGATCTAGCAGTTGCATCGCATCATAGACTCATATACATAATTGCACACCCCACCTTTGTCAGAGCAATATAGAAACTGAGCCGTTGTTTGCAGGTCACTTAGTCTGCTGTAACTAACTTTCACTACCCATTGTTCTCACGGTAGAACTAGGTCCTGTGCATGTCCAGTCCAACCCTCTTCTTTTGACATTGGCTTGAAATCATTTCCTCTACCAGCTTGCTCTGTCGGCTTCTGGAGAAACCGATGAACACAGCAGGGGAAAGCAACTTGTGCAAGACTGTGTTTGCGCAGCATTGAGGACGCCCCAACTGAGACGCAGCTCCATCCATCATTCGGTCAAAATTTGATGCCACCCAACTTCCACCAGGAGCCCTCTTGAAAACCAAGAACCGATGCAGTCCGGCAGGTGTGCCGGAGCAAGCCCACCATGCCAAGCGAAAGAATCCTGCCGACAAGGAAAAATTAAGGCATGCACATCAGTTCATGTCAGGCATGAGTCAGGCGCCACTACTCCATGCCAAGCTCAAAGACAGCAACAACGTCTAGTTAGACTAGCTCGGACATTCAAAGTTCCACTTTTAGCAAGTACGTCATGCTCTTCCTGTTGCATGCGTTTGTCAAGTGCCTGCGTCTCGTCACATCATCGGCCGGGGCAGGAAAGCTTCACATGCCTGCCATCTGCAGAAGACTGCGGCTGCTGCGGCATGAATCCCAGTGATGCTGTTCGGAGAGCTGCTCGCCTGAAAGAGGAAACCTGCAGCCTCAAAGCCCTGTAGCTTGATGATGCAAGGCAAAGCCATCAAGGAGTCCGTCTCAACTCGAACTTGCAAGCATCACAGTTCCTTTCCAATGTTTGACTGTGCTTTTCGCTCGCGAAGCACCTCGTGCTCCTGTGAAACGCAGCACTATTGGGCATCAAGCTGGTCGTTGCATGGAGTCAAGCAGTAAACCACTTCATGAGCTCTTACTTGCAAAATTTTGTTTGCAGGTGTGCTGGTTGCCAGCACTTCATACATGAACTTAATCCCGCTGCAGCAGCTTAGTACCAGTGTGATATCTTATGATCACATGTTGGGCGACATATGAAAGTTGCGATATGCTCTGGTAAGCTCGTTGAGGAGAGATGGTGACGTGTTTTCGCTCAGAGTCGAGTTTTTTCAGGCTGCTGTCGCCTTGAAGCAGCGCGTGTGGTCGCAGTTCGTGTTGCCAAAGGTCCAGCCCTTAGCCCTAGCTCGAACACTGGGGAGTCGAGGAATGCTCTCGCCCCAAGCTACTGCGAAGTAGACTTGTTCACCCCAGGTCAAGTCCTTCCATCAGATGCTGATGCTGTGCGGAGACACGACAATGCAGCTGCGCCCGCTTGGCCCATCTGGGCCAGTTGTCCATTGCATCCAGAGTGGCGCAGAGATGGCAAAGATGTTTCGGGACAACCCAAACAAGCTGTTGCGGTTCAATCCCTTGGACTCTCAGCACAGATGTAGCGAGTGTTTGGCAGACGCCAGTCCACAAAACAGCGAAGGGGAATCACCTAGATAGTGTTGAGACTTGCTTTTGCTTAGCCGAGCCCGAGGATGTGCAGCATTTACCTGGTCCTCTTGGGAAATTCATGTCCTTGGACGACAGCTTAATGCAAGTCGTCGACGGAATTGCAGCTTGTCTGATTGAGCTTCTCATAGTGTTGGTGGTATAAGCCAGGGAAAACAAACCGCCAGTACACGAGCAGATGGTTTTGTTTCGTCAGGGTGCCTGCTTGCCAGCTGTAGCTGTGAGGCTGGTACTTACTCCGACTTTGACTTGGTCTTAGCTATTTGTGTATTGCGTTGTTTTCCCATTGAGCCTTTAAGAATACAATCTTACTGTGACGGTATCCAAAACCCTGTTGTAGTTATTCAGGCCCCTATACTGGAAACTTCATTTGGAACCATTATACTCACCTTTCTAGACCCCTGAAACGCCTTGGTCTGTGCAAGTCCTTCAGCATACTATAACCCCTTGTAGTAGCTAGCATAGCAACCCTCCATTTTCCCAGAGGAACCCTCATGGTAACCAGCAAACCCTCTACACCCCTTAAAGGAACTCTGGAGCCAAAAAATCCCAAGACGCCTCGGCCTGCGCCAAGAAGAAGTCCCTCTTCTTCGAGCTTCAGGGCCCTGACCGCGAGCAGCTGAAGAGTCATATTGTCACCTTCGGGAAGCGCTTCAGCGACCAGAAAGTGCTGGACGGGGGGATTCGGTTTCGAGTTGAGGGTTGGAGCTTGGGGGTGTGAGAGTTTGGGGTTTAGGGTTTACGGATCAAGGCGACTCAACCAGCATGTTAATGTTGTGACATCTTGTCCATGATAGGCTGGAGTGTTTTGCCTCAGGCAGGCCATGTCAACAAGCATGCTTCACTGCGCTTGTCGGCAGGACAGAATGTACAAGGACCTGCGAAAGCACTTCGAGACTTTCTCCATGGAGGGTGGAGAGAAATCCAAGAACCTGTTCGATGTGATTCAGCGGACCATCGTGGCTGTGCTCCTTTCCGAGATGTTCGGCTGTTCTTTGCCAGACGATGTGATGCTGGACGTGCAACTGATAAGCTTTGTCCTTTTCAGTTCAAAGTCAGCATGTTGCAAGGGTAGGTGTCCAGAAGAAGCTATCCTCTCAGAGTTGCGATGCCTGCAGAGTTTTTGTTGGCTATTAGTCCAGCCTTGGCGAGGTGCCTGCCTGCGCAGCCCAAAGGCTACTGACCCAAGCGAACGTTCATTAGTGTCTTGAATCCGGTACCACACGCCCAGAAAACGACAAAAAATCATGGAAGTAAGGGCAGCAATCACACAGGTGATAAAAAACCGCAGACAGAGGAACACCAAATGGTGGAAATGCGGAAGTCAGCAATGACCACAAAATCACCCTTAGCTTTTCAGTGGTGTTCGCCGGCTCGTGTGCCACACCACGCTCCGTTTCCACCACCGAACATGCTACCCAAACCTGGGCTGCACCCTCTGAAAAAGCTTCCACCCAGATGCAAAGCCGCCGAGACACGGGAAATGTGCCGTCGGAGCTTTACGTCCGCTGCACATCGCTCCCCCAAATTTTCAATCGCCGGCTTCTACTGCTGGTCAGGTTGATTGCGAGGTTGATATTTCCGGCCTTTGCGCAAGAACAGGCTTCATGCGACTGGAAACGCACATACTCCCCGCCTGGGATGGAGTCCTTGTGGCCGACTGCCGTCCGCTAAGGACACCAGCAAGGCTGCAAGAGCTCGCCAACAAGGTATTTGGTGCTTTGCCAAACGGCCCTGCAGCGAAGGACTGGAAAATGCTCAAGAGGGTCGTGGACCACATGACCGCAGAGGCTGTTGAAGGAAGCATGGCTTGGCATTTGAGGGACACCTACGAGGGCAAGCCGAAGGACTGCCTGTGCTTTGAACTCAAAGCTTTTGCGTTGTATGTCGTCGGTTGTGACTATGTTTGGCTTCTCGTGCTTTCTTCTTGGCTGCGACTTTTGGAATCCAAGAATAATCTACAAGATCCTCCGATCATGGACTAGCATGTCTATGCACTCTTCTGGATGATGGTTCATTGCTTGCCTGTCTGGAGTCCGGAGGAGAAGGAGGGAACAATCCGAAGCAACATGCTCGTGCTGCTCCTGATTGGGGCACAGAGTATGGCCAACGGAGCCTACTGGCTGACCCTCTGCCTGCAAGATCCGGATCGCTTGTCACGCTTACGCAGGGGCGACGGCAAGCTTGCTGACGTCTTGGTGGAAGAGATGCGGCGACACCCGCCAAGTGCGCCCATACTGATGCCCTACAAAGTCATTAGTGCTTTCACAGACAACGGCATGGACTTCCGTGAGCGCGACATTGTGGTCATCTCGCCACCATGGCTTCGTGGCTGAATAACCATGTGCCCGCATCTCGCGGTTCCGCGACCAAAGCGTGTCAGTTCTATCTAGCCTGTCCGAGTCTTTGAATGGCTAATGTTGTTTCGTCGTTCGTCCAGACCCCCCCCACATTATCCCGTCATGGTTTTCCTAAAACATGGTGGCTTGGTCACCCCCTGCGCGACGATGCGGCTGATGTCTCTCCGGAAGTCAATCTCGTCGCTTCGTGTGTATGGTTTTGGCATCGTCCCGCCGATGCAAGGCAACACATGGCATTTCCGAAGCCGCATGAACACCAGGAGGCCCAGCGCATCTTCTTTCCAAGTGCTCATTCGCTACTGTTCATGCCCTTGGACACAAGCTGGCAGGATCGCTTCAGCGAGGATCTTGCTGCCCACAGGCAAAGAAGCGGCTGCCCCTTCTGGAAAGGTTCTGGCCCGGTGCCCGGCAAGGAGGTGGAGGCTGCCGAGAGGGTCTTGTTCGACAGGACCGACCTTAGGCTTGTGGAGAGCGAGAGAGAGAGAGAGAGCGGGAGCTCTTGTACTAGGGCATAACCCGTGCTTTTTACCACTGTGTGAATAATACGAGCAGGGAGCGCAACAACCACTGTGGACAAGCTCGAGAGTTGGGGGACAGTACGCACTCTGTAGTGTCGTAGTTATGGTTGGGCCTCGGTTATGTGTTCTGCGTCGATTTGCTAGCATAACTAGGTCCTATCGGTGTTGTTCTGTTTCAAAGAACCTTCTGCCAGCATGTGAAACGTATTCCCAGTGTTGTTGCAGTCTCGACCAGGTTCATTTTCGCATCTTTTACTTTGCTATGGGGGAATCGTACAAACAAGAATGATGTCCAGTACTGTATGCATGTTTCCAACAGCAACAGAGGTCACACTTCCAAGGCGAGGTTTTTATCAAGTAGGCTATATACCTAACATTTACGTCTCAGGCTAGGTCAGGGGAACTGTACGCTGTTGCTACATTTCACACCCTTTCACAAGCCCCGCAATAAGGGGGGCCCTATGCCCAGAGGAAGAAGAGAGAGAGAGAGAGAGAGAGAGAGAGAGAGAGCGAGAGAGCGAGAGGGAGGGAGGGAAGGCGGGAGGGAGGGAGGGAGGGAGGGAGAGAGAGAAAGAGAGAGGGAGAG